ATCCCGAAGAGACAAGAAATCAACACCATTTTAACTATCACTTATTACGTAAACTGCTTAACTTAGAAAAAAAGTTAAAACTGCCCTTAGTACAACTTTTTGCGTTGAATCCAATAAACTAGCACTCGTCGTCATGGTCAACTTGATTTGCGAGATAAAAAATAAACTTATGGTTATTTAAATGGTCATAGTTGGCTGTGGGTCTTTTAAAATCCTTATTTTTTTCTCAATTTAACGATATAATTGTTTGTATGTTTTTCTCCTTTCGTTGCCGTAAAACTTCAAAAGAAGATAAAAATGTGTAGTAGGCTATGGAAACAAGAACTATATTATCACACAAAGCACAAAACAGTAATGAATCGTTTAAATTAAATGTTCAAATTGACTTCCGTTTACGTCCAGGCATTTTTTCGCATCTTCACATTCAACTCGTGAGTTATGTGAAGGGACACTATCATGTTGAAAATATGCCAATTTTCGATACGAAGCTAACGGAAAACTATTCAACATGTCTTCAAGTTCATTTGGTAAAAAGCGTAAATACCTTTCCATATTTAAATTGTGATTATAAAAGAATGGACCAATAATTTTAAAAGGCCCAAAGGCAAAGAAAAAAATGAAGCGAGCAAGCAAGATGCCACATCATCTAGCAAATAAAGTGATTCTCCCAGTTATTTTATAGGCATTCATTTGCTGCTTCCTGCTGATTCATCAACTTTTAACAAACTGTAATTTATACATCAAATTACCACCTATTTAGCAAATTAGGTCCCCAAAAGAGAAACATACATTTTTAATCGCCAGAAGATTTAAGCTTACAATGGATGGCATGTTACAAATAGGTTCTTTCAGCAAAGCTTCCTGGGTTACTCTTCGGTTGTGGCAACAGGTAGCGACCCAAATTTGAATTCCCCCTGCAAAAACTGCCATATATTTAAGCGAATATCATTAACATATTTTATTTATTACCGTGTTTGTCGATATGCATCTCGGGGCCATTCATTTTCTAAAACAATGTTCTCGGCGTGATTTTGAAACCCGCCCGGCACACGCCATACACGGCCCAACCTTTGCATGGTATCTCCTTCAGTTTACCGGAGACGGTTAGAAAGTAAAAACCTGGCTCTCAGACTGCTAGTTTTAGGTTTAATTAATTTCGTGTTGATGCCACTCCAAGATTTTTTTAATTGCCGGCTCTTGAACGTGAACTCAGCAGTTACTCGGTTAATTCGACGAAAGACATAAAAGTTTTACGTTGATTAGGTGTGGTCTGAAGACATTGCAAATTTGAGGCCCTGAGAATCGTCCTCTTGATGCAATTATTTTATTTTTTAAATTACTGTCAATGTTTTCGATGAAATGTATCTCACGATTTAAACTAATGAGCAAAAAAGTGTGTTACGAAACAGGAAATTTATTGTTCGCTAAATTGTCAGGACTTTACCTATCAAGTGACTAAAAATGCAGAAGCAGAAATGCAACAACTAATGAACATATAAATGAAAGCAAAAAACTATTAATTAACTCCAAATTTATACCAATCAAACATTCAACGAATCTTTGATACTTTCTTCAAATTATGGACAAAAATCATACCTCTTAAAAATGTATTGATGGCTTTGATCAGGTACTTAAATGATTGACTAGTTTAATACCGATAAGAGCGAAAATATTGTGTTTTTTTTTTACTTCAGCTTTTCAAATAGATATTGCCTTTTTATACAACACAGTATCAAACCGTACGTTTCCAAAAACCCACAGAAAAATTTTAAGGAAATTGTCTAGATGTTAGACGCCCTGGTAGATCCATAATGAACATCATTTCGTAGCTAACCTTGCTCCACATAGAGAATTCCCTAGAACTTAGCTAGTTAATGCTATTGTTAGGCTATTTCTTCGCTTAAATACTGTTGATGTTGCATATACGAATATATTACAATAGCGGGAATTTATTGTACTTGAGTGTTAAAAATGTTTCTCAAGTTAACACCGGACGAGTAATATAATAGTTAATGTCTTCTTTCGTTTAAGTAATTTGCAGGTTGGTTAATATTAAAAGATGTTTAATGGGCTGGACGTCTACTAAATTCATGTGAGAGTGGAGGTGATAGACATTTTTTTCCTGAATCGAGAAAGTTTGCCACTGAAATTTCAACCCTAATTGTGTATACATAAACGTCCATTGTTATCGGTATATCACTCTAATTACAAAAATTCTCAAAATTAGGCTGGCAAATTACATTATCATTATACTTTATTATACTGAAAATTTTCAAGTAAAATATTTTTAAATACCCTAGTTTTTTCCACAATTTAATTACATCTTAAAACCGGTACACGAGTATGTGTTTTCATATGTATACAATACTAATGGGTTTTAGATGGCGACTGACAAGCATATCCGGTGAAATTTCCTGCTTGCCAAAATTAAGTATGTTTGAAATATTACAAACGTGTGCTTAGAGTTTCTTGGTTATTAATACTGAAAACAGGTCTTGTCATCCAATTTTTGATGAGCAAATTAATAGAAAGCTAGGCCTAGTGATTTTTAGCCTAGCAGTGAAAACGAGTTTGTCTGATGACTTAGTTTCGAAGAATTGCTTAATGTTGAATAATTTTCAGCGAGCATTTATTATAACAAAATCAAGAGCAACATAATAGAGCTGTCTCTTAGCAATTTATTAGAAACGCTTTCTCCGTCTATACTTAAGGAAGCAGCCTCAGATCCCAAAGGTTCAGATCCATAAACAAAAGGCGCAGAAATGGAAACTAGTATTTTTAGAACGTGAAAACAATAAATGATATATATTTTTTAATAACACCTATGTATGCATAGTGATAGAATTGATATATTCACACGTACACGCATGAATGCATGGACGCAATATTTTTACTTGGAGCGATACGCATTGTTAAAATTATTACCACGCAGTCTCAAATTATAGGTTTCATTATACACAAATGAAAGGAAATCCTACTTTATAAGAAATATGAAATTCAATTACTTTTCAAATTCTATTTCCCGAATCTGCTGTTCAACATGTAAACATATTTAATAAAGATCTGAAATCGTTCAGAATTAGGCCCATTAGGCATCTATGTCTCAATAAGTGGTTAGGCCAAATATTAGAAGTAACAGACTGAAAGAAGATGCCACTGGGATAAGCAACGTAGCCCTGCATCCTGTCGGTTTATATATTTATATAACTAAAATGAGTATTTAATATACTGTCGGAATTAGCAAAATGAATCACTACGAAAGGTCTAAGAACACTTGCCCCAATCTACACTATTTCGCATTCGCACCTGAAAAGCTTCTTCTAGCACCTGCAGATGTTACCAAGAAAATACCATTTGCTTGTTCTATAATTACGCGTTAAATAAAAGTGGCGAATTACATTGACAAATACATGAATTAGTATCTACGAACACAGATGACTACCATTCTGAAGATTCCCAGTTTCAGCGAAACAAACAATACAAATTTTCCTCATTGATCGTTGCATGATTTGTTGTGTTGACCTTAAAGAACAGTCTTAATTACGTCTCCGTGTTAAACGAAGTTCGAGAACGGTATAAATTTGCATCTGAGATTTGCATTTAGTATTGCAAGGTAATTTGCTGACGCTTCTTCACGCTTCGACGATCAATCTAAAATTATTGCAGCCGTTATTTTGATATGATTTTGTTTAAGGAAATTGGTTGTGTTTTGGTTGAACCCTTAGAAACACAATTTCGAATCGGCTATCTAAAACTCGTAAACTCATGAGCGAACTTTAATAAAATGCCAAACAAATAGCCGAAGAAAGATAAATGCAAAAAGAGGAAACTGCTTATCGAAAGATAATTCTTTTGTTCAAATGCAATTAATGAGACATTCAAAAAACTAGGTTTTGCAAATTCATCAGTTATTCGAAAGAATTTGTTGGTTGGTATTTGCTGGTGAATTGAAGGAATATGAAAATGAGGAAAAGCCTATTTGAGTATCAGATGTAAAATGACTGAGAATAACAAAAAAATCAAAATCATAAAAATTCTAATACCAATTCGCCATTTACTTTAAATTAAATGCAAATAATACAAAAAAAGTTTTGGGAGATATTGCAGTTGCACTTTTATTTCGTTCAACTTGTTTAATTTTTTTGTTTCGTTTATGCAATTATTATTAGTCAACAATATATTTTTTGTGTATTTCGATAACGGATTTTGTCTATGGATGAAAAAGTATTAATTAAACACTCACCAACAGGAAACATATTGAGAACCTTTTCCCCTTACGCAAATGCAAATTAAGTAAAACTATCATTTAAAGCCCTTTAAAAGCTTGTTATTAAAATTGTTTTTCCACTTTGACAGGCTTTTTGCGATGTGTTGAACACGAAAAAAATGAAAATGGTTTAGAATCGTTATGCAAAGCTACAAAAGAAAAAAGTCGTTAATTCGATTTGCTTATTTCGATTGTTCATTGCTACTTACAAATAGTAGTAGAAAAAATGTAACAGTCAGAAGATTTTTTATTATAAACTCGTTTATTTTATCAAGTTGACTATAGGAGATTTTCCGCATGCACCCAAATTTATAAACGTTTAGAATTTTTCCCGTAAAATTGGTACTTTGGTCTTCGACAGTTGATGCGAATTTTTTTGGTGTTTTATATATCGGCATCTCGGATTATAAACTTAAAAAGTCATCAAAAAAACACCTGTTTAAAAATTGCTCATTTGTACTAAAAACTTTTAAGGAATTGGAATTTGACAACCTTAATTTTTGCATTCTGTTTTCACAAATTGTGGTAAATTAACTAATAGTTAGAATCATCCAAGTCCCAATAAAAAGTAGATAATTTTAATAAAATTCAGAACAAAATAGTAGATTAATTCATTTTACTTTTATTTCATGTCTTTCCATTTCGGATTATTTCCCAAAAATTTGTTTTTAGATAAATATGTCACAGCCAATATATTTTGGCTAAAATCATGTTGAAAAATTCTATAACTTACCTTTTGCTTTTCTGGTTTAACCACCCAGGTCAACCAAATCGATAAAAGTTCGTTTCAAAAAATCCCAATTTATTGTCCACTATTTGAGCGAGTTTCTGTCGACGCCACAAAACCAGAGTTAAGAAATCAATATCGACATAGAAATCAGTCACAAATTAAAATAAATGAAAACACACTTCAGCTCTTTAGAAACACTGTCCAGTTAAACCGCCACAAATCTGAGCGACGTCAACGATCGGTTAAGTGAGAAGTTCTAAGGGAGTTCAACGGGCGATTAGGCGATGACTGTCAGAAGTGTAACTTTCAATTGAGTTATGACTTCTTCCATGGTGATTGGGTCTGGGGGGTTGGTAGATTTGACTGTCATTTCTTTAGACCAGACAACTTCCAGCCTCTTACAGCATGTGAGAAATCTCGTGGAAAGTTTCCTCTGGAGTTCCTCTTAACATGCGAAGCACTAAGCTCAGAAAGTTGACAGTTTCGGACGCCTTATCTGATCTTCCCGAGTAAATGCACTGGGTATCACTGAGTGTTTCGAAAAGTAATCGAAAACGTTTTATCAATTCTCGACGGTTCACCGGGATTTTAGGAGTTTTCCTGCCGAAGTAGTTGGTTATCCCGTTGGAAGATACTCGGAAGAAGAAGTCGGCGGATCCGCGCGCACGTGCCTTGGTAGGTTTCGGAAGATCGGACGTGGTACTGTCTTAACGATGGTTGGCGGTTCACTGAGCTGGTTGTGTTTGCGTCCGGACCACGCCAAAGGATCTGCTCCAGTTCTGGGCGAGATCGAAAGTGTTTTCTTCGCGGATGGACCCAGCTGGGTGTAGTTGGTGGAGGTTGGCGGTTTCTTGATGGTCAGTTAGGATTACAGTATCACCTAGAACTGTTAGACCGACTGGACCGTCAATAAAAATCGTACTTTATGAAACTAGTAGGCTGCCTATAATATATGAACTAATTACTTGCGCAACATAAAAAGGCGTCGTTATTGGCATGGGCAATCAAATTCATTACTCCAGCATTTGGTTGGCGTGCTCGTTTTGTCTTCAGAATGGGCCGGTTTTCTGTCTTTGATTCATTTATTGATTAAAACCACTTGGGAAGCATTTATTAAGGCCAGCACTTATTTGCCGGCTCTGTTTATGCAAAGTACGGAAATTAGTGTTTGGGAATACAAAGTCAATTGTTTGGATATTAACGTAACAATTGTATTCTAATAAATTTGAAATTACTTTGTAAGTTGAACAAGTTATAGAGCCTCTATTACATAAGCGGTCTTGGTCAAATTCGAAATGATGTTTTTCAGTGGAAATTCAATGGATTGCAACTCAACTTCTGAGACTCACTGTCTCAGAAGCAATGCCTGAATTAGTTTAAAATTCCGCAGTGTGTTTTTTGGAAAAAAGCTTAGAACCATATTTTTTTTTTTTATTGACAAATTTATTTACACAGGATCATCCAAAAATCAATAACGGTTAGAAAAATCATTTTTTGAAATGAAAGCACCTATTTTTGCTTCAATTTTCCGGGAATTTTAATGCTATGTAATGCATTCATTGTATGCTTCAGGTACCATTTCCTGTACCTAAACTCAAGAGGAGTTGAGGAATTGACGTTGTAAAAAATATTTGCCAAAATAACAAGATGCAAGAAGAGTTTATTGATCGCCTTGGATATAGCTAACCCGTGAATTATACACATTTTGACCCTTTAAGTTGATGGTCGTTATCTATCTTTGAACCATCATGGGTGCATAAATTTGGTTTAAAAGAACATGCTTTTTCCAAGAAAGCATGACAGAGCATTTCCCAAAAAAATAATCTGTTGAATTTCAAATTAATTTAGACATTACTTCTGGGACTCACTGTAGGCAAGTAAAATATAACCGTGCTCTAACTTCCGTTTTGTCCAGTGTTTTATTCGCCACCAGTAAATTCAAACATTGAAAATTGAAGATGCAATACGCACGTGTTTGTAAAACGTTAAAAACGGTCTTAAAGTTCGAAAATCTCGTCAGCTTTATTCTCTCAAGTTACCCGGCAAACATAGTTGCTTTAACTGCCGGGCGATTATGAATGATATGATCGAAATATTCAGATCATGGCTAACTAATCGATCATTTGATTACTGCAACTGAGAGATCACTCGAAAAGATAATTTACTTTTTTTATTCATGTGGTACCGGTTCTCGAATAGAACTTTTGCGACAAGCATGAATCAGATACAATTTTTAAATGCTAACTTATAGTAAGTGTGTATGTTATTTTTTGTTTTATTTCGGTTGTTTTTTAAATAGTTTGTGTCTTGAATTTTTTGTCATTATTTCTGCCTGCCTGAAGTGTTGTTGAAAATTGCTTCACTCATTTTGTAATATTATAGAAACTTCGGAACACGACTTCCAACATGAAAATTATCATCAGTTATAACATACCTATCCAATTTTGACAAATTATTGGAGAAATAGATGCGATTAATTTTTTGTTCACTTTTGCTGTAGGTATTCATTAACGCCATTTAATCTTTGGCTGAAAAAGATGTGTGACAAAAAAAGAAGTTCAATTTTGTTAAATTTGGTAGCTTGGTATACAATAACTTAGCAAGTTCAGGATACTCGCTAGTAGTTCCAAAACATCGCTAGTTAAAATGTCACTTATAAAATTGCAAGACTTTTAGATAAATCGGTTAACATGATTTTTGGTAATTAATAACTAATCGGTATTTTGACACGATCCTTAATATTTTGTACAATTGAATTCTGCTTCCTTATTTTCCTGCATTGTTTAAAAAGCAGTCATTGCATGTTTTTTGAATCTACAATAAACTAAATATTACTGTCGCTTTTCTGGCGTTAATTCCTCTGCCTTATTCTCTATTTATACCTTCAGGACATGTTTTAGTTTAATTCAATTGACGCTGCAAATTGACAATTTTCGTTGAGCAAAGCTGTCTAATAAATCCTTTAGCTGATCAATTTTCCTTTAAATTTCCTCGAATACGCTTAGCCAATTTACAAATTGGCACTTGCTTGCGGATATCTTCTTTGGTATTCCCGAACTACCGAGTGTCTGCTGATTTTCGATTGGAAAATCCATCGACATTAATTAATTATGATCGATGTTGATTTCGATAAGCTTCAGTTTGTGACCGTTATTGTTTAATTAATGCTTTCAAACCAATGTCAATATGATATTTACAAACTCACCGTAACAACCGTTTTTTGAATATTTTTTTTATTTCAGTGAAAAATTGTGCAATCTACTGACCTAACAATCCCTGTATTATGTACTATTTTATTTTATTACTATTTATTTTTGCAAATAAAAATCTATTCGCTATATAGATGTTACAATAATTATAAAAGCATCATAAAGACTTGCTATCCGCTGTAACCAAGAAAAACTTTGCAACCAAATGAGTGTGTTTTTAGTCAAAAAATACTAGCAAAAAATATTAGAAATTCATTTTTATTGAAAACAATGCCTGTATGTTGCAAAAGGTCCATGTTCCGCTTGCGATGTATATCCTCATTGCAAATATAAATTGATTTTGGGAAATATTTAACATAATATTTTAAAACAAAGACAAGAAATGAAACGCAACATATACGAAAAAACCGCTCAAGAGTATGACATTTAACCTGCAAATTGAGAAACAAACGAAATAAATAGTTTATTGGGTCGAATTTCATTAACGAATTTCGTCCGTCGTTAGGAAATTGACCTAAACTTGATCGATTGGAACGACAAGGTGTTAAAATAAAAACAATCGGTTGATTCATAGTAGGTACTATTCCGGTAATTGTTTATTCAGATATTTTTTCAGGATTCAATAGAATTTCGTCTCAGACAGAATTTCCAAATTCCCTTTTACAGTTAGTTTCAATACATATACATATACGTCTTATATATCTTAAACTTTGTATAAAATCGAGAAAATTAACCGGCGAAATATTTTCAGCCTTAAAAACCCGAACGAACGAGATATAAAGTGTAGATAGTATTTTACGTTAAGATCGGAGCCTTGTTGAAATTAAATCAGCAATAGTAATTTCAATTTTAAGCGCCTTATAACCGATGTGAACTAAAGATTAACTGAAGTGTGCAAAATTATAGATTTCGCGTTTTCGTCCCGGGTAGCAATTAGGAATCATTAAACGTGATTAATTATCTGAAATTACGCTTATGGGCACTTGTTACTAGGACAAAATATGGTTTTCAACAGTTGCCTAGAAAAAAAATTAACTACTTAAATTTATAGCAGTATTAACGGTTTATAAATTAATTGACTTTGTTAAAAGTTTTTATATTTTTTGCAAAAAAATTAGGACTTGGGATCGTGCAACTAATTGTAACAGTTTTCTCTAATTGCCGAGCTGCAGCACGAGCTGATTCCTATATAAAAAACTAAGAGACACTTGTTTTTTTTATTTCATATTTGATAATTATTGTTAAAATGGGAGATTGAAAGGCAGTAACCGAAAAGCTTGCGGGTTTTAGTATGTATTCGCTGCTTGAATTAACGACTGAGCTTTAGGCTAAGTTTCTTGAATGTCTTGAAAATTTTGATTTCCGCGTATTTACATGACGCAAAACATTACAACGTTACAACGGCATTAAGTAAACTTGATCTACTTCCTATACTGGAATGGCAATTGAGATATATTTTGCATTTTCTATTATATCCTACATATATGTTTTTTTTTATTTGAACGGGGTGTACAACTTACGAATTACTGAGCAATGTTTGAAGATTCGAATAATTTAAAAAATGTTGCAGAAGTAGGATATTTCGAAGGAAGCAATGTGTTAAACCTTGGATGTTAATAACAATGGCAATAATTGTTTTTTTTTCTTTGCTTGAAAACTTACAATAAACTAACAATACAAATTATAAAAAATTGTATTACACGCTTATATATTATAATTTTTTTAAATATTATTTCTAATGGTTTATCAAAGAGTGATTTCCTGGGGCGAACTTATTGAAGATTCTTATCAGCAATCATACCTGACTGCATAAAAGGTGCATTGATATCAGACAAAACCGATTGCAAGTTCACTTAAGTACCTGACTGGGCACACCCTATAAAATGTCCATAAACCATTGTTACATCACAAATTAGCCATCGGTTAGATTATAAATAATATCGCACATTGTTACGCTTGAAGACTGATACAAGACGACGCCATGTTTGCTCTCGAGGCTTAAGGATGTTTTTTCTTTAATAAACGCAAATAAATCACAATATAATAAATAACTGGGGCCACCTCTCTTTGCTAACCTGGTTACCACCTATCGGTCTTTGTATATCGGCGCGGTCCGTGATATGCGTGAAGTTATTTCGATTTTTTTTTGGTTTTGTTATATGTCCGGGTTAGGAAATATATGGCAGCATTGTCTAATGTTTAATTATTGAACACCAAGATTGATTACGATATTGCTAAAATTACGTGCTGTACTTGCTTAGATTAGTGCTGTAGATACAGACAAGTTTGCCGTTTGCAGAATAATATCTTTTATGTTTCACCTATACATTATTGGCTCATAATACCTTAGAGATGAAACATATAATAATATCCATAACGCCCGCTTATAATGCCCGCTCATAATGCCCGCTCTTAATGCCCGCTAAGTTAATTTTTATAAAATTGTTATTCTCTCGCGTTGACATTTTTCAAGTTTAAACCACAAAAAACAACTGAATAAAAACAAATACCCGTGAACTAAACTTTATCTCCAAAATAAAAATTACAATTTTCAAACGTCCCTGAAAATAAAGCTGAACCGACAACAGAATGGTCCGAGCTTCTAGGAGTGATCTTCTTCTGTGTCTCGCACATGTTTGATAACGAACATTCTCCCCTTAGTTCCTGATGTTGATGATATTCTATTGAAGAATTCCCTGCTACATGTTCCCGTGAAGATACTGAACTCGCAATCATTTCAGCAACCTTGTTTTTTGAAGAGGTACTTTCTTCTATATATCCCTCTGCTACC